AGAGAGAGACACAGCAAGAAAGGGAACACAAGCACAGGGAGTGGGAGAGGGGGAAGCAGGCTTCCCGCTGAGCAGAGAGCCCAATGCGAGGCTCGATCCCAGGACCCTAGGATCATGACCCCAAGCCGAAGGCAGATGCTTAACGACTGAGCCACCCAGGCGCCCCAGAACACACCACTTTAGATAATTAGTAGAGATCCTCTGGCACACAGATGGTGCCACTTTAGAAAACTACCCTGCGACCTCACCACCATGTCCCTCACTCTATAAAAACTGGGGAATAAGGTCCAGACTTGGCAGACAACAGGGTTAGAGAGCAGCTGTGTACTGCCTGGATCATCCATCTGCCCAATTCCCCCATCAGTAAATTTACCTAAATAAAACTGTGTAAACGGTATGGAGTGGTTTGGACTCTTTGTGGTCTCAAAGTGCTTTCTCAGCCTGGAGGATATTTTACTGTCCCTCTTCCACCTTGTAAGACAGATATAAACCCCATGGAGACAAATTTTCACATTTAGAATTTCAGTTTGTGCATGTTTCATATTTTCCATGTCTCCCCTAAATCTGCTCATGCTTTCCTCTACCTCTTAGACTTATGGAAAGCAGTTAGAGTAAGTATCGTTACTAAACTATCGTTTTAATGTTCTTGTATACTAATTCTATCATCTGTATCATTTGGGGGTCTTTTCTAATTTATAGGTTTTTCTCATTATAGGTCATGTTTTCTGCTTCTCCACATGCTTTGCTAACTTTTGATTGGTTATAAGACATTGCAAGTTTTACCTGGTTGGGTACTGGATATTGTATTCTTTCAAATATTCTTGAACTTTGTTCTGTGATGCAGTTAAGTTACTTGACAATGAGTTTGATCCTTCAGGCTTGCTTTTAAGTTCTGTTTGGTAGGACCAGAGCAGCCTTTAGTCTAGGGCTAAGTTTACCTCACTACTGACACAATAACTTTCTGGGCACTATACCCAATGTCCAGTATATTACAAGGTTTTTCCTCTGGCTGTGAGAACATGAACTATTCCTGGTCCTGTGTGAATGCTAGGGATTATTCTGCCCGCTCCTTTCTGATGGCTCTTTCGCTGTCCTTGGTTAAGTATCTTTATAAGCATGTGATTAGTGCTCAGCTGAAGACTTGAAGGGCATCTGCTACAGATCCGCAAAGCCTCTGCGTCCAGCTCTTCCGTCACCAGTAGTCTCCTCCCCTGCAAACCCCAGCTGCGTTGGCCTCCCCAAATTCACAACTCTGTCTTCCCAGTGCAGAGAGACCACTGGTGTCTATTTGGCTTACCTCTCCCTATGGAACCTGGAAGTTGGTTCTACGTAGTAAACTGGATGATCAAAGGGTTCATTTTGTGTCCCTTCTTTTGGGGCTGTCCTGTGTGATTTGTTGTCCAATGTCCAATGTCTATTTTGTACATTCTCTAGTTTTTCTTTTTTTCTTTAAGGTGGGAAAGTAGATTCTGTCCCTATTTTTAATGTAATGCTATAAATAATCCAGAACAACAACAACAACAAAAACACCCACACCTTCAAATGTCTAAAACCAAGGACAGAAAAGAGCCCTCTCTCCTGACAGGGGAAATTTTCCAATAGAAACAGAATCCCATTTTCCTAAACCCATTTGACAACTTTTATGACTACCAAGTGAGAAAGGAACTTTGTTAAAAGAAGATTTCCTAAATGGAGATTTACTGTAAACAAATTCTACTCAATTTACCACAAGTGGTAATTACCTCACATGCCTGACTCACCCTCTATAATTCTCTTACTACGGGCAGTTCTGTCAGATGCTGCAGGAGGAACGCCGTAGCCTTAGTCTTTCCCATTTGCACAGATGATGCTTCTAGCTTTCACAACACAATATGATGTCTTGGAGGCTAAACTGACGGTAAGGAGCCTTACCAAACAGAAGGCTTTATACTGCAAGTGTTGTAAGAAGCAAATGGCTTTCCAAGGAGCACTTGGCTGTACAGAAAAGAGCTCCAAATTATTTCTGAGAGTAAGAGAAGCCCCATAATCCGGCATTTGATGATCCTCCGAGGCCAAGGTGGGAATGCACTTTTCAAGCAAATCCCCCTTTAACAGAGGCAGAAATGGCAGCACACATGTGAGGTAAGGCCTGTAGGTGGGTTCAAAGAGATCAGGGAAAGTTGATTTTCTTCCATGATCACTTTCAAATGTCTCAGCGGGACATCACCTTAATCGCTGAGGTAAGCTCGGCCCTTGTATTATGTTGTAAAAGGTGAATGGGAACAAATATCAAGAAGGTGCCAGAAGTCCCAGAGCATTTAGGAATCTTCTTGGCTTTCCCTACAATTTTCATTTGCCCAACAACTGACCATTTCTAGTCACAAATTGTTTTCCCAAGCTGGGGTTGAGAGTGCACTGGGTCTAGGGAAAATGTCCTGCCAGGCAGGTAGGGCCATATTAAAACCCAACTGGGCAGTACCCAGAGGTTGTCTACAGGGTCTCTGTACCTCGCATGACCTTCAAATGCCTTCTTCGTTCCACCCTCCCCCCTCCGTCAAGACTTACCCCAGGCCCAGCCATCTATCCCCATGCTCTATACCAGGGCTACTCAAAGTGCGGTATGTGCCAGTCCACAAAGATAAGCAGGGATTGAGGGCAGACACTGGGAAACTCATACCAATTGACAGAGTAATTTTAAATCAATTTAATGTAATAACAAAAAACTAGCACTTGTATTTTGCACTTTTATTTCACTTTTCTAGTAATTTATTTTTTATATTTTATAGAAGTGTCTATAACAATTTGGAAATTAAAAAATTAAAAGAGACCTGATCCTTCACCACAAATAGCTTGAGAAGCACGGCTTCCCTTTCCCCTTCATCAAATCTAGTGCCAATGTCCAAGAGTACATGGGGGTGTTAGACACGCAGAAAAGTATAGGCTACAGAAGGAGAGGTCAACTGTCCCCAAAACGTGGCCACAGGATCTGCACTGAGTTTCAGCCTCAGGAACTGCTGCTTTGGCTGATTTAGAATAAAGTAGCGTGATATGATCCCACAGATTCCTATTGTTTCAAAAATGAAAGTTCTAAGGTTGTATAAAATCTAGGTAGTAAAGCCCCATACGATGCCCAAATGAAGTTAGCTGTAAGTCATCAGTTGAGGATTAAAACTTGCATATACATATCATTTCAAAAGAAATAAACCAACAAGAGTAAATAGCTAAGCAAAGCAATTAACACTGGGGATAGCAGCAGGACCAAATACCAGGTAGACAGTAAACTGAACAGTGTGAACACTACATAGAAACTTAGAAATGTGTACAAAATATCACCATTGTATTTATTGCAGCAATGTTTATAATGTCAAAAAAAAAAAAAACCCAACCCTGTAATTAAGTAAAGGTCCATCAATAAGAAAATGGTTGAACAATTTAGACAATATCCTCACTCAAAAGATTGAGTTAGATCTCTCCTAGTTGACCTGGAGGTATTTCACAGCATTTTGAAAAGTAAAAAAGCAAGACACAGAGAATTATTTGTATATTATGTATCCCAATTTTTAAATGCGGGAGGAGGAGAAAGCTTATGTTTGTGGATATTGAAGGTGAGGTATTATTTTAAAAGATCATTAGAGGATAGAAGAAGGTATGAAGTCTATCCTCTGGCAAGATTAGCTACTTGGTGTTGGGGTGGAAGGTTCAAGCAAGTAATTAGATCAAAGCAAGCCTCTTACAAAGTCTTTATAATTTCTAACAAAAGCTGCTATACCGTTTATGTAAAATTACACATATAAGCCTGCGTGTGCCTGGGTATCTCTCTATGTAAGTATGTGTGTGTGCATATATCTCCCTACCTACCTACCTGCCCATGTCTACCTACCTGTCTACCTACTATACCTATCAAGAGCTGTCTGTCTGTCCACCTATCTACAGAGAGCTCTTAAAGATTGGTCACCAAAGTTACGGTGGTTATCTTCCCCAGGCACAGGGGAGAATCCTGGTGATTCTTTTCTCCCTTATATGTTTTTCTCTCGTATGGATGTTTACAACAACCAGGTATTACTTACATAATAAGAAAAGAGCAGCAACGCTGCAACACTCACTTGTATCGTCGACACTGCCCTCATTTCCCGCCTCCAAGCCTTATGTTTCATTCGGGTCTGGCCCTTCCTCCCTGGTCCTGAACACCAAGTCAGTCCAGGCTCTCACTGTCCCAGGCCCCTGCCTCTGTCTCTCCCCTCTCCAGCCAATCCTCTACATGGACGCCAGGGTGACCTTGACGGAACACCTATCTGTCCACGACGCTCCCCCGCCTGCACCTCGTCTAGGCTGCTCGGTGCCCTGAGGGGCAGTTCTTGGCCCAGGTGTGCGATGTCATCTCTGGCACGGTACGGCCCTTCTCGACCGTGCGCACCTCCCTCTGCTCTTCTCCTGCACCGTCTGCGCAACGTATGCCCATCCCTGAAGCTGCGCTCCAACACCGTTTCCTTCTGCAACCGCTCCAGCATCTCTCCTGCTCTCCCACAGTGCTCTGTACATACCCTATTAGACCACTGATCATTCTTTTTAATTATTTGTTTTCTCCCTCTTCCTCCCTACGCTATGAACTGCTGGAAGGTAGGACTGTATCTTCAATGTCTTTACCAAATGAGTAAATGAAATCAATGAATGAATGAGTCTGTAAAAGCAAAGCAGTAAATATAAATGCACGTCAACCATGCCCATATAAACGATGAACAAAGGCTGCAAAGCGAGTATTTTAAAGTTCATTTTTTTTTCCAGCAAAGTGGCTTGAGCCACTTTTTAAATTACTGCCAGAAATTCAGTCAGTGAATAATTTATATTCAAGTTACCAAAAGTTAACTATACTTTAAATCACTATAAAATGAAACAGAAGTCAGAAAGAAAGCCATTTCCCCCTTCTTAAGTAAAATAAGTTCAGTACTGTTCTTCATTCTATGCCAGTTCTAGAAACAGCAACTCTCCCCCATAAAACACAGCCCAGCTGTGTGGCTACTTACTGGAGTTGAGGAGGACCATGGCCTTGACACAGAGATACTCTTTGTGTTGGAGTTTTAACTCACGGAACCTTGAAGTTGTTGCCAAGAGCATGTCGAAGATTTCCAGAATTCCTTCTACGCATTTCCCCTCATCCCTACAAAAGTTCATTTGGAAATTTAAGAAACATGCAGCACTAGGCAACCATCAAAAGTAATAAGGAGTATTTTCTTATTAATCTCAAATTTCATCTTGTACATCCTTTAACAAAATGGTAATGAAAGCACCTCCAAGTGACATGAAATTATTAGAATTATCTTCATATAAAGAGGACAGGGAACTTTCCCTAAATGCCAAAAGCAAACATTTGAATAAATACTATTTAGGCAAAAATGTGCATTGGAAATACACTTCCCTTCTACCTGTTCACCAAATGTTTTCTTTAATGGAATACCATTTCTACTGATTATTTTCGATCTAAACCATTTCAGCCAACCAGCCAGAGTTATGACACATATTGCTAGCATGAGACATTCCACGTTCCCATCAGAAGACTCTGAAGTGCTAATGAGGAAGACTGAATGTTTACCAAAGCAAATGCCCTAAGAAGAAACAGTCCTTCACATCTAGGGCTTAACTCACTCCCCAGTGGTCATTTAGAAACTGGTGAGGCAACTAAGAGACATTTAACATAACTTGAAAAAAAGCTAGTCTGATACACAAAGAAATCACAATTAGAGAAGACGGATTAGAATGAGGAAAGGAAGGTAGAAAGGGAGACGTGAACATTTTTGACTTGCCAAAGATTATTTTTAAGCAAAAGTTTTAGACAAACTTTGAACCATATAATCAAAATTCTTTTGAACACTCACAGAAATTAATTTTTATGCATACTTTTGAAGGAAATTACTTGAACTGTATTTAGAAAATACCAGCTTCAATTCACTCCAGCCAGACACACATTATTCTGCCTCACTGCTCCCCCAAAAAACTTCTATTGTCATCAGTTGTAGTCCTTGGAAGCCCTTGACAAGCAGTTAGATGATTTTGCCATGAAACTCATTTGCGTCTCAACACCTGCAGCGCAGGATGAAGGAGAGCCTGGCAGCAGTGGGCGTCTGCGAGTTTCATCTTTAGTCTCCCCCACAGCCTCTGAAGGGGACCTGAGATCTTTAGAGAACTGGCTGCTCCCCTCCTTCCTTCCCCCAACCCCAAGCCAGGACATTTCTAGTGATGGTGGCGGCTGGGGAAAGGGTCTCTGTGGAACTCAGAGGACACCAGTGGGAACCACGATGCTGGTGCAGCCTTTCCCACTGGGTTCTCTGTGAGGGCGGCAGCTTGCCAGGACCCTGAGTCCCATAGCATTCAACACCCCCCTCCCAGACTCACCTACACAAAGCTACCAGCAAGAAAACTGTGAGTTCCAAACAAACATGGTAACTTCTGCAACCACCTGAGACTATGAAAATTGCACAGGTTAAGTGATAAAACACCGATGCCCCCTAAAAGTCACTCACAGAGAAAGGCTACCTTGGAGAATCAGAGCCCTGGGCAAGGGGTGCCGAAACCCGCAGGAAACCGCCAACCTTCCTCAAGTCCTGTCCTTCGCACCTCCTCTGCTCCGGGCTGTCCCAGGCAGCCTGTTGCAAGTGCCCAGCAAGGACAACACATGCTGTGCGCATAGCAGACGCACAAGAAATACCTGTGCACCAAACGCCCCTCATGCTGCATAATCAAATCACTGTGCTTAGGGACAATTAATTACTGAAAATTGTCATTGTTGGGCTTGAGGACATCTGACACTGAGAAAAGCTCGTTCTAAAATATCTTGGGGTTGCAGGGGGGCACCTGGCTGACTCAATCCGTAGAGCATGCGACTCTTGATCTCAGGGCTGTAAGTCTGAGCCCCACAGTGGGTATAGAGATTACTTAAAAATAAAATCTTAAAATAAATAAAATAAAGTATCTCTGGGGACAAAAATCAAAAGCCCACCAAGTTCTGCATTGACTGTTTAATAGTTTGGCTCTTTACTTTTCTGTGAGACTCAGTCAGAGGTGGGGTCACAAACATGCAGGTGCACATGTGCATGCACACACCCTACTCCCCAGATAGTATAAGAGGATTCATCTGAAATCAACCCTATCTTGCAGAGGTTGCCACTTGTACCTAAAACCACATCCCTGCGTATTGAAATTAGTATCATTTCCTCATTGAAATGCATGCCATTTTAAATGTAAATTCATATTTCAAAAATGTAGGGAGAGTTTATATTCTAGAGCATCCTAAGCCCTGAGAAATGCTATAACTCACAACAATCAGAACACGTGTACCTCATGGAAAAGTGAATCGCTAAACTAATTCTAAAGAACGAAGTCTGATTGCTTTTACCAGCAGGTGTGATAGCCAACCATTTCATTCAAGGGTTGGCGTGGTTAGAATATTTTTACTCACTTCAAAGGCTGGAGAAACCAACTATATTTTTTTAGGAAATAAATGAAAAATATAGGAAATAAGGTACAATACCTCATAAATGACACCCTAATAAAGTTCTGCCTGAAAAGAGTTATACAGAGGAAGGACTTTTAAATAACACATTAATGAGATCTATAACACTTATTTCATAACTACGGAATGAAACTGAATTAGGAGTAAGAAATTAGGATAAGATTAAAAGATTTTAATTAAAGAGAGAGGACATATGATTTGAATGTTAAAATATCAAAACAATCTATAATCAAACGAACCCGCTTCAAGAAGCTTACTTTTGCATAGCATTTGTCCATAAACTACGGCTAAGCAAAAATAAAATTAGTAAGTACATGTGGAATGTCTTATTATGTGATAACCACTCCTTTATAAAAGGAAAAGCTTCTGTTTGATACCAAGGACAAAATGTTGAATGAGTGGACACTGCTTTGGGTGCGCTATTTTGTACCTACATACATATCTGCTAGCTGCACACACGTGGGCGTAGGTAGACCACAGTTCACTTCCGGTGGGGGAGGGGGACACTAGGGTGTGGGGGCTCCAGGCTTAACACGCTGAGAGGACTTAAATATTAAACTGATGTGAAAATTACCTACATACAAAAAGGGAAATGAAAATTTTAAAGTCAAAATTCTTTGGGTATCTTGAAATTCAATGCACAAATAGCTAACGTGAAAGCAAACTCAGTACATTTACAATACGATTCCAGGGAATTCCATAAACGTCCACAACGGGGTCCACGCCCAGATCCAAACTCCGACTTTTTAATATGTAACATTAGACAGTTTCCTATTGACACCGAGGACACAACATGTCTTAGCATATATGATTTTTTTAAGCGAGCAGAAGCCCAGATTCTGTGGTAGATCTCCACATGAATTTGTAACTCCAGTGATTACTGAGAGAATCACCTTGTTTAGAAATAAGCTGAGGTAACCGGGTTTTCCTCTCATCCTGAGTAGGTTCAAGTTTTCTCGCCACAGAAGCCTCAACAAGAATGAGGAACAGCAGCAATTATTGTCTCAGGCTGTACAAGTGAGCTAGTTTGGTTGTACTCACAGCTTGTATGGTCACACCACCACTGGAAGGAACACTGATAGGACAATCTGCCAAAAGACAGCGATTTTCAAGTACCGTGCAAGTTATTTATTCGTGTTGCAGAAAAATCTCATAATACTTCTTTATGATGTGTAATCTCTGATTTTTTGAATAAAGAACACTTAGAGCATTTTTGAATAGGCAACCCCTCCAGAAACACGGGTTTACATAAAACAATACTCATCTGGTTCATACATGCATGAAGGAACTGAACTATCTTAGACTTGAAATTCTAGACATCACAAAGTTTATGTGTTGGCAATACTAGAGATTGCAACAAAAAATAACCATGATAGGCACTATCAAAAATGCCAGCTCCATGTGAAGGCATTTACAATTCCAGAGACTCCTCTCCTATACTCAGATATACTAGATTTGTATGCCATACAACATGATACTGTCAAATATTTATAAAAAGTAATGTGAGGGGAGCCTGGGTGGCTCAGTCAGTTAAGCATCCAACTCTTGATTTTGGCTCAGGTCGTGATCTCAGAATCATGGGATCAGGCCTCATGTCAGGCTCCACACTCAGCATGGAGTCTCCTTGTCCCTCTCCCTCTGCTCCTCCCCCTGCTCTCTCTCTCTCTCTCTCAAATAAATAAATAAATAAATAAATAAATAAATAAATAAATAAAATCTTTAAAAAGTACTGTGAGTCTATTAAAATAATTTGTAAGAAAAATTACTTTTTTTTCTTCTATTACTTAACCAAAAGGTAGGCCTAAAATTTGTCCAGGATGTGTCTCCATTTACAGTAACTTACACTTAGAGGAATTAAAGAACCCAAACAAAGAGGAGAGTTAACTCTACTGAAAACCAGTCACCGAACATAAACATTAAATGTGACATCAATTTAGAAATCAAGACAAAAAGTAAAATAACTTAATCCCAGTGTCTGCAAACATAATGACTAATCAAGGGATGAAACTTCTTCCTAGCACTAACTTCTAGGAGAATTATATGTGTATATTTGTGTGGGTGTGTGGGTGTGGCTTCGTTTGAACACCAAGTGGAACAGCATGTCCTGTTCTACAGGTAACTACTGTTATATTTAAGAACATGGACTTCACAGCCAGCCCCAATGTCCAGCTCCAGCATTTACTACTCTGTAACTGCCGGCAAATTACCTAACCCTCCCCCCATTTCCATATCTGAAGAATAAGGATAATAATGGCGCTTACTCATAAAGGGCTGTTAAGAAAATGAAATGAGTTAACACGGCAAGTGTGTAAGATGATGCCTAGCATATACAAGGCAATAGCTTGGCTATTTTGATTGCTACTGAAGGGTCTGGACTTCCAGAACCCTCTTCCATGGTTCAACACCTGGGCTTGCTCCTGCCACAGCCCAAGCTCCAGCTCTTGCCAAAGGCTCTGTTCTCCACCAAAACACCTCCGTTACTTAGAACAGTGCTCTTTGTCAACGTTGTCATCCAGGACAACAGGCAGAATGGGTGCTAAAATCTTGGGGGTATCACTTTTTATCTGTGTAATATGTGCACAGGGGTCTTCTGATGATCCAAAGAAATAATACCAAGGGTTGGGCGCTCTCCATTCGTATAATGGCATCCTTCTACTCTGTGCACAGAGTCCAATGTGACTGAACATTCTACTTTAGAACGGTTTCAAAATAAGGAATGTGGAAATCAATTTCCATCGAGATTTTCAACCTGCTCAAATATATAACAAGAAAGTGTTCTATTTTTGGTACTAAAATTTTGAGTGTTGTATATTCTAGCTCTTCCTCCATGAAGAGTTCACCTGAATCAATTAAAAATGGGTTCCTTTCCTGTGCCATCTTTAAAGGGAAACAAAATGTAATCGAGTGATGGTATTGGTACTATCCTTCCCCAATTTCCATTACCTTTCATTTGGTTTTAATAACCATTCTTTCCACTGCTATTGTCAACAATGCTATAGAGTATATGCAATTAGAGTCAAAGCACATTAAAAGAAACTTTGCAGATTTGTAAGAATTCTATCACCTGTCTAGACAGAGATAGACACAGTCCCTATAAGTGGAAACCAAACAGCAGGGCAATTTAAAATTATAAACTGAAAATGGAATTTTTAATGCAGAAAAATCTAAGTTGACTTGTACAGTTAGTAGCCACATATTCTGCAAGATATGGGCCCTGCTATGGCCTGGCCTGTAAATGCCGCCCCACCACAGGTCAGAATGAGTCACAGGACACTGAATCCTAGGACCCATGCTCTCCTTCTCCGGTTCTTGACCTGGGGTAAGAGCTCATGACATTATCATCCTCTTAATTGCCCTTTTAGGTGTGAGATTTTAATTGTGGCACCCAGGACTCAAACAGGTCAGAGAAGAAATACGATGCATTTTTTTCTCACCTGTCCAGAACGAGGTCTGGAGCAAAGATGAGCTTGCCCGGGTGATCAATGGAACGCCACATCAGCCCCACCATCAGCACCTCCATCCAGCAGCTCTCCAAGAGGCGCACTTGGTCATAGAGACTGAGCTCCACAAAGCCTAGGGAAAGCAAGAGGCTGTGAGACGTATCCACTCTGCTCCTCAACTCCCTGTTTCTGTGAAAACAGAAGAGCAAGTTTTAACAAGCTATGAAAACACAAGCAATATAGGGAAACACTCAATATTTTAAAGATGTGGTTAAATGCTGACCTAAGGAAGGAAATTTTGAACTCAGAGTATGTAACTCACAATGTCCAGCCTTGGATGCCTTCTAGAGATGAATATATTCCTTTTAAGGTTTATAAATGACTATTAACTTGGGCTTACAGCTCCCCAGACAAATGCTAGGGAAGAACAGAAGGCTAGAACAGATCATTTTTAGTCATATTTTAAAAATTCCTCTGCACTGCTGAGAAAGATAATAGCGGCTGCCAGCCAGAGGCTGCCTGTCTGGCCCGGTTCACAAGAGGGCCTGGGAGGGGCGGAAGGATGGGATGGGGGGCTGGGGAGTATGGGACATGCAGAGAGAACAGCACCAGCCCCCTGCAGAAAGTCAAGGCTTCAAATGAAAGAGATCTCTGATTGCTTAAAATTTCAGTGTTAGAATCATTCTTCTGAGTAGGAGCAATGCCTCTAGGCTATTCTATCCTGAAAAGCAAATGTAACAATCGAAGCAGGTCCCAATAGCCTGATAGCTAAACAGCATGGATTGGTCCAAAAATCGGAAAGAAACAGGTAATCTCTAGGGAGGTGAGCACTTTAAAAGCAAAGCAGAGATCACTGGTGCTTCCTCCACAAACCACGATAAAAAGAGAAGGCAGTGTAATATAAAAACTAACTAAACACATGGCCCAGGAGTGCAGTGGACTCCGGTTACGATCCCGGCTCAGCCCCATCCTAGCTACTCAGTCTCCTTTTAAGTCGATTATCTTCCAGAAAAAATGGGAGTAACAAGGCCTACTCTCTGAGAAAGCCCTGCAGGCAGCCTCTCTCAGCGTCCTCACTTTACAGACGAGGAGACCACGGCACAGGAAGCACATGAGTGTGAGCAATATAATGCCGACAGGCACAAAGGAGAACTGAATGGAGGGAGTCACGAAGGGAAAGATGGCTCAGTCCTTCTCCAAAGTCACACCCTGTCCTAACACTACGCGTTCCAATCTCCCTTGCAGTTACAGACCATAAGCCTGCCCACAGAAGATTAGGCTTCTTGTATTTGCAGCTATCCAACAAGGTCAAGGCTAAGTGATATTTTACCTTTTTTTTTTTTTTAATTTTGGAAAATGACTACCTGCCGAGAAAGAAAATCACACCTTTAGACGATGCCTAAATTTTCTGAAAATTTGTTTAAAACACCAGGCTTAAAGAAGGACTAATGCAGCTGAAGAATTCAGTTTTGTTATGGCACAAAGAAGCTGCATGGCCCTCAACGATCATTAATTTCACCACCACTCTCCACATGGCGTCCTGAACACCAGTGTTTGGTGTACATGTAGCGCAACGGCTAGAGGAAGATGCATCAGTACTGTCTCCTATGAAAAGAGCAGAGAAAATAACATGATTCTGGCTAAGGTGGAGATCTAGACTATCAAAACAAAACTAGAAACCAGAAGATCCGCAGGAAGCTCAGAAGGAATGGGCCTAAGCCAATGAATGACCCAAGAGATACTATTACACCAGGCCTGGGGTCCCACAGCTCTTCACCCCCAGCTCCTCCTCACCCAGCTTCTCAGCAGCTTCCCGGCTTTATACTTCGTCTAAAGCGGTTGCAGCCTCCAGCCCATGGGAACTGTCCCTAGTGGTTTAGAACCTGGAGAGAGACCTCATTTCTTAGATGACCGTAAACATGCACATGGAGAAACCCTTTCAGGGGATGGGCTGCTTGCCATTCTGTGTTAGAATTCTAGATTCACTGTCACAGAAACACCGATTCAAATGGTAACGAGGTGGTAATTTTAGCACAATGCAGTATTTCAGGTATATATTACAAACTGGTCTGACCCTAGAATTTCTTGCCCAAATGGTCACTTTTGGCCCACTTCCAGAGTCTGGGTGGGTTTTTTTCTTGGGTCTACTCTCTCAGACCACATCTCAGCATGAGAGGTGTCCAACAGGCTAGTGTGCATAGAAGATGCGGCCACGGAGGACAGGGTGTGGACAAGGCCCTATGGGATGGTTCTGGGGTGGGAAAAGAGAGAGGTAGCCCTGGAAGCAGTCTCACCATATACCATTCTTCTTTCACTACCATGTCCGGTAGAGAACTCAGAGGAGTCCAAGAACTCTAAATTGGAGCCGGACCTTCCAAGACATGCTGAAGGCATATATGTCAAGATAGTAAGAAAGAACATATTTCATTTAAAGATTATAAATCAAGCTGTCAAATTGTTACACACCCAGACATCATTTGTGGACCTCCATTTTGTACTCTTACCCTATAAATGTTAGGGGCAGGCCTTTCTACCATAAATGAAAAGTTAAGATCCAGAAAGCCTTACCTGGAATTTTCTTGGCCCAGCCAATCATGTGCACCAGCTCCTTGTCGGCCAGCTTGGTCAGGGACATCATCATGGAGGCCTCGGTGAAGGGCGTGCTGGGGCGGCTCACGAGCACGTGGGGCGGCTCCGCCTCCAGTAGCGTGAGCACCAGCTGCTCTGGGCTCAGGGCGCTCAGCAGCAGCTCCTTCACTCGGGTCACGTGTCCACCATTTTTCTTGGCTTTGCTCAGGCAGTGCCGCTGTTCATCTGAACTTTTCTGCCTTCGCATAACACGGTACCCACACCTTTCTCTCCGGGTGCCTAAACCAGAGAGATAACACAGTACTTCCCCGTGGCTTCCCCAGCCCAGCATTCAAGTTCCCTGAGTCTCCAGGGCAAGGGTGAGGTAATGACCTGAGTCTATCCTCACAATGTGTCTGCCAACAGAAGCCTAACTTATTTCCTGGAACCTGTGGGGCAAGTACCAAAGATTATTACATTTGCGTCTACTTTAACAAAATCAAAAATATGACTTTTTAGGGACAGTAGCCCAAATGAACTTAAGGACTCCATTTCAAGATCACCTATGGATACTAAATCTATTTTCTTTTAAAGAGTGCTGACATACCTCGGTTTCCAAACCACAGAATTAGGAATTTTCTTCAGACAAAACATGGGGAAAAGTTAGGAACCGAACATTGATATTTGCAAATAGTTATCAAATAATACACTCTTAAAATACATTCTTAAAATGTTTATGTGCATGTGTGTTTACACATATGCACATAAACATACACATACACATATGTATTCTTTTTACAGATTTGTACAAATAAATACATTTCAAGTAAATTTTTTAAAAATCTGAAAAATATAGAAGAGTACAAATTTTGGCATAAATTCTTTCAGTTTTAATGCTTTTTACTTTTCCATATTTCATATGTGAAATTTGGATCAGAGTATATATACACTATTTTTAACTTTTTTCTTATTATTAAAAATGTGTCATCATACAATTTAAAAATCTATGCCTTCTGTTTTATGAAGATAGCATCACTTTATCTAGTGTCCCCTGTCAATGGAAATCTAGGTTAGTCCTAATTTCTTTGCTAGTATTCATAGTACAGTGAAAATGCATCTTTTGTACACACATCTAATTCATTCCCTAAAATAAATTCAAGAAGTCAAGTTGCTGAACCAAGGCATATACACACTTAAAATTTTGATACATATTAATAGGTTACCCTCTAAAACTATTTTAAAATTTATAATACAAACAATACGTTAAGGGGCTTATTTTCTCATAACACCATTGGGCAATAAAAGTCATTTCTAATCTCTGCTAATCTGACAAGTGACTAAACAATCTCATTTTACTTTGTATTCTTTTAATTAGTAGCAAGGTTGACTAATATAATTGCCATACTTTGTATTTCTTTTACTTGTATATCGCCTGTTTATTTCTTTTGCCCTTTGCCTGCCTAATAAACTATAAGGTTTATCTAGTAACTATAGATAACTTTTATTATGTGCCATATTTGTCTTATTATGTATCTTTTAACTTTACTCATGGTATCTGTTGTCCTAAGAAGGTTTAGTACACAAACTTGTCTTTTGTTTCACATCAAGATTATACAAATATTTTCTTCTATTTTTTTTAAGATTTTATTTATTTGAGAGAGAATGAGAGACAGAGAGCACAAGAGGGAAGAGGGTCAGAGGGAGAAGCAGACCCCCCCTTGAGCAGGGAGCCCGATGCAGGACTCGATCCCGGGACTCCAGGATCATGACCTGAGCCGAAGGCAGTCGCTTAACCAACTGAGGCACCCAGGTGCCCTTTTCTTGTATCTTCTTTAAGCACTTTTGTGATTCAAATCTATTTGGAATTTTACGTGTGTTTGTATCGTGTCATATTAATATTTCATGTTATGTTCTTCAAATGGATGTATAATTTTCCCAGTAGCATTTATTGCACAAGCTTTTCCCACTGATTTTTATACAATGCCTTGTCATTTAATAAATATATATAAAAGTATCTTCTCTTCTGGGGGCACCTGGGTGGCTCAGTCAGTTAAGTGTCCAACTCTTGATCTTAGCTCAGGTCTTGATCTCAGGGTGGTGAGTTCAAGCTCTGTGTTGAAAAAGTATCTTCTTCTGGATTTTATCCTGTTTCATATATATATATGTATATATATATGTATATATGTGTGTGTATATATATATATATATATATATTTTTTTTTACACTCCTGTGCTGGTATCAATATGTTTTAGTTCCTGTAGGTTTATGGGTCAGAAACGCAATGGGATAATGTCTTTAAGATGGTATGGGGAGGGGCGCCTGGGTGGCTCAGTCGGTTAAGCGACTGCCTTCGGCTCAGGTCATGATCCCAGAATCCTGGGATCGAGCCCTACATCGGGCTCCCTGCTCAGCAGAAAGCCTGCTTCTCCCTTTCCCTCTGCCTGCCCCTCTGCCTACCTGTGCTCTCTGCCTCTCTGTCAAATAAATAAATAAAAAATATCTTAAAAAAAAAAAAAGATGGTGTGGGGAGGGAGAAACCTTTAATTTAGAATTATATTCCCAGCTAAACTATCATTCAAGAGTGAGGATAAATTAAAGACATTTGAGTTAAGCAAAGATTAAAAAGATATATCACTCACAGCCCTTTTGAAATAACTACTGTGTTATCTGGAATGGAGAAAAATGAACCCAAGAGAAGCAATGAAATTCAAGATGCAATAGGCAAGAAAATAAATTGGTAAACATGAGAGGAAACCTAATAAACACAGAATGAATAAAATAATAATTAATTTTTGGAGGTACAGAAATAAAGTAGAACCAAATACTGGATAATAACAAGATGAGAGGGGAATAATTTTGGCTGGAACTTTCTGAGATTCTTTATTTGGAAAGAGAAATATCTATTAGAGTGGCGTGAATTCTCAAATTAACAAGAATGCGTGCTAAAATAGAATTGTCACTAAAAGAATTGAAACAGAACGTATGACTTCCAAACTAGCAGAAGAGGTAAAATAAAACAAGAAAATGGGATCAATTCCAAAAAGGAAAAAAAGAAAATATATGATGAAATTGTTAAAATCCTAAAATAAGATGACAGAAATGAATTCAGATATCAGTGATCACAATAAACATAAATAGACTAGATTTATCAATTAAGAGCAACTCTGAGATCACATTTTTTTTAGCTAGACATTGACTAGTTGTAAGGGATTCATCTAACACACAGAAAACTGAAAATAAAGGGATAGAAAAAGATTAACAGGCAAAAATTAACCAAATAAATCAGTTATGCTACCAATATCAGACAATATAAACTTTAAAAGGCATAAATCATTATTAAGACCTCATCAGATTATAAAAGGAAGATAATTCTAAACCCATAAACTCAAAACAACAAAAGAAGAAAACCCAACCTACAAACATAACAGCAAAAAGTGACTAAAAGAAAAAGATAAATTGACAAATACATTATTATAATGCATATTTTTTTAAAGATTTTATTTATTTATTTGACAGAGAGAGACATAGCAAGAGAGGGAACACAAGCAAGGGGGAGTGGGAGAGGGAGAAGCAGGCTTCCCGCTGAGCAGGGAGCCTGATACAGAGCTCCATCCCAGGACCCTGGGATCATGATCTGAGCCGAAGGCAGATGCTTAACACCTGAGCCACCCAGGCGCTGCTATAATGCATATTTTAATGTATCTTTCTCAGCAACTGACAGACAACTGGGGAAAAAGGCAGAATACAGAACATTGGAATTGGACAATTCACAACCTTGAGCTATAAAAACTCAGGGAATTTGCAAAAAATCATCACATACTAGTTTATGAATAAAATTTTAACAAAATTGATATCATATAGATCATATTCTTTGATCACAAAAAATAACAAAAATATATAACTTCCAAACCCTTATAAAGTTTAGCACAAAAATACTTCTAAAAATCCCTTGGTTAAAGACAAAAATACAAAATGAAAATTAAGAAAGACATAAGTCAGGATGTTATTAGCATGGGTAAAACTTTTATATGCATCCCCCCAAAAAAACCTCAAAGTTATATCTGCAAAATGCCTAGTTTCTATAGTCCCATCATTATGTTTGTTCACTAAATTCAGTTGTCCACATTTTAAAAAAGAAATATTAATTAGGAAGTCTGATTACATTTAAATTACTTGCTCCCAAGAAAATTTATCTGAATTTCTTCTCATTCTTGTCTTATCAAAGTAGAAGGAAGGGCTCTATCTATCTAGATATTATTGAATCAAACTGTTTACTAAAAGAACTAAAAGCCTAAAATACAATAACCTTTATTAGTAATCAGATAGAGAGCTATAGATATTATTTAAGTTCAGTTATACCCCCAGGGTCAAATGGAATAAAATGTTTGGTTTAAGAAAGCACCTTTCTGATCACACATCTCCTTTTTGTAGAGTATACGAGGAAAAAGAGTTTCCAAAACATGTTTACATACAAAGAGAAAGGTTTTGAATCCATGCAAACTTGTTTGACCAACTTTCACTTACAAAGCCCTATATACTGGGCCCTGAGTCCTAGGGATTCTAAGATCAGTAACATAAAGCCCTTGGCAGGGAACTCACTGTTTTCTACCAAGGACATTTCTAGTGTCATGGCTTTCCCACTGCAATCTCTACAGTCCACCGGGTGTGCCTCGGAGCAAGCCTGATGAGGAACTCTACCAAACAGGAGTGCTCCGTATTAGAAAGTGGTAAACAGCCCCTGAGAAAAGAGGATGATGATAATGGTGATGACAATGACAAAAACAATGGTCATAATGGTAAATGATAACAATGAGAGCTAACACCTACTGAGGAAGCTTCTACATGTCAGACACTGTGTATTGTATTTAGATTATTTCATTCTGAAAACTGCCCTGGAGGACAGGTGCTTTTATCATCCCCATGATACAGGCTCAAGAGCGCTCAAATAACCTGCCCAGGGTAGCAAAGCTAGAAAATAGTGAAGGCAGCATATAAACTCAAGCAGTTGTCTGAATCCACAGCCGGTGCTTTTACTACTTTATACCACCTCCCTATCAAGTCCCTTTCATGTGTATATATGGCAGATGAATCAAGAGATGGCATCTGAAAGATGTGGATTTATTCTTCCAACACAGAAAAACAGACCAAACATGTGGCTATTCTGATTGTTTTCCTGGCTATTTATGTTTCACCATATCCTTATAATGAAGACTTACCCTCAAGTTAGTCTGGGTGGGTATCTTCCCACCATTTAAACCACCATATTAATATTTCCATAGAAAAGACAAGATTGGTGCAGAAGAAAAAGGTGATAACAGAAGAGACATAATTTCTAAAGGGGGGAGTGAAATGGTGTAGGAGGATCCAGGAGGCAGATAGGTTCCTAATCTTCCAAGACTGGAGAGAAGGAAGAAGATGGATGGAGGGTTTATTGAGAGGGCAGACAAGGAGAGTGCTGGGAAAGGAGGGAGGCATAATTAAGAAAATTCACTCCTGGGGCGCCTGGGTGGCTCAGTCTGTGGTTAGTTAGTTTTTTAACTACATCTCTATACTCTGCCTGGACAAGACTGTATTGCATTAAAACTCCTCATAATTTATATGAGCTTTTCAAAGAGGGAGAGAGATAGGAAGGAAAACTAAAATTTAGTGCCAAACACTGTGCTAGGTTTTTACGTCTTTTTTTCACATGCATTCATTCCTCACAAAACCCCATGAAACAGATATCTTCTTTTCAGAGATAAGAAAACCAAGGGTCAGGGGCGCCTGGGTGGCTCAGTCGTTAAGTGTCCGCCTTCAGCTCAGGTCATGATCCCAGGGTCCTGGGATCCAGCCCCGCATCAGGCTCCCTGCTCAGCAGGGAGCCTGCTTCTCCCTCTCCCACTCCCCGTTTGTGTTCCCTCTCTAGCTGTCTCTCTGTGTCAAAAAAAAAACACAAAAAACAAAAAACAAAAAACCTTAACAAAAATAAATAAAGAAAGAAAACCGAGGGCCAGAAAGGTTAAGTTTGAGTATAGTCACGGTTCGCAAGAAGTAATGAGACAAAAAAATGAGCTTCAGTCTTTGGGAGTCCTGTCCTCTTGTTCGTCCCGCCACATACACCGCCCCCTGCAGGCGGATTATGCAGGTGCTCCTGCCCTGGTCCCGACACTAACAGTGTTCTTATCCTAAGACTAAATTGTAAACCACTTTTTAAAAAATACACTCACCTTAAAATATTAACTTAAAATATGAAACACTGATTTGCAATCTTTTGTCAAAGGGCCAAGGCTTTCTCTTTCAGTACCTCCACCAATTAAATCACAAGTGACTTTTCTACATAGGCCACGTCCGTGATACACTGTCTCTGAATTTTCAATTTCAGCTTCCTTAAAACAGAGCAAGAGCTTAGGCACTCATAAAGCAATCCAAATTCAGAATTTTTCTAGGTTTATGACCCCTCCCCCCCATCTCACTCATATCTAATTCCATAGCTACTAGTCCTTTACAGTTAATGCAAGCACTACACCCAACATGGGGCTTAACTCACAACCCCAAGATGAAGAGTCGACTGAGCTAGCCAGGTGCCCCTCCTGTACAGTTTTATCCAAAGCTCTCACAGAAATGATTGTCTTTTCCTACTCATATTTCATATGCTTGCATAAATTCTAATTAAATTATATAATTTGACAGTTACAATGAGTAGAAGTTTTGGAAGAAGCCCACTGGTTACTGATAAGGGTATAACTGAAGTGGGGGGGGGAGCAGAAATGCTCAAATGTTTTAGAGAGTTACCAGTACACACTGGGAGGTCATGGGCATTGGCAGGGTATTTTACAAAGAAAACAGAAAACATCAGTGATTCTAGAGCACTTCTGTTATACTATGATATAGCTGGATGAGATGTCTTATCTATTATATACATTTTTTACAAAGGACAGAGAGGGGCACCCAGGTGGCTCAGTGGTTCAGTGTCTGCCTTCGGCTCAGGTCATGATTCCAGGGTCCTGGGATCGAGCCCCACTCGGCGGGAGGCCTGCTTCTCCCTCTCCCACTCCCCCTGCTTGTGTTCCCTCTCTCACTGTGTCTCTGTCAAATAAATAAATCTTTAAAAAAAAAAAAAGAGAATGTTCAAAAGGCAGAGCTCCTAAGAGACTGTCCGAGAGAAAAGAGACTCTTGTTTTAAATTTTTCAAATAGTTACAAAGAGATAAATTACAACTAACCACAGGCAAAATATTGACTATAGCAGAGTAACGGGAAAAGTACACGCAGAGCTGATGTGAGTGCGCACAAACCGGCAACTGCGTACAGACGAATGAGTCAAAAGTTAGCCAGGTGGGGAGAGAAGGATGTAGGCATTCTTGTCAGCTGTTATTCTAATGTGCCCATTTTTCTTTGTTTTTCATGGATGTATGCACCTATGTGTGGATACACACACATATGTATAATATGAAGACATACCATTGTAACACACAATCTAAGTTCTATGTGCTTTCCATAGTTCTATCATGTTTCTGACTCCTCTACAGATATTCTCTAGAAAGCTAATGGAGGACAGGCATGAGTCTTTCCAATAGCTCTCCAAGTAACCCACCAGATAGTCTACTTTCTTGTCACAGCTTTCACTGTGAACATTTACCAGAACTTTCTCCTTAGACTTCTCAAGGCCTCAGGCAGATGGTCATCCAACCCAGTTGCGTACTTCAGTGGCTAGAGTTCTCAAATTCACGCAGCAGCCTATTGTGTCGTCAGACCACTTGAATCGTAGGAAGATCCTCCCTATACTGGGCCAAGATGTGCCTCCCGTAACCTGTTCCTGTTTACCTCAGCTCTGTCCTCCGCAGCTATAGGGAATAAGTCAATGCCCCCTCCAATGGGACAGAATACACATACTTGAGGATAATGACCAAGTCCTAAATCTCCTCTCACACAGGCTACCTGTCCCCAGTCCTTCCGCCTGTCCTGACAGAGCTGTCAGCATGGCCCACACATGATGAAAGCGGAAGCGAAAACTCACCGCACTTCACCATCCCCACTTCATAGCACTTCCGAAGTCGGCAGGCCTGGCAGCTTTTGCGCCGATTCTTATCTATCGTACACTGATTTGTAGCTGGGCAAATGTAATCATTATGTCCTACAGCAGAGGGAAAAAAAAAAAAGGCAGGCTATTATTACAAAATTTTGATTAAATATCTTCCTGGTCAACAACACTGATAATGCTACTCAGCTGAGAGGTAGGCAACGTCTTCTTAATGACAGGTACGGGTACAAAGGTCAAAGTTCGGCCTCCTCAGTGCTTTGTTGGTGAGTCAAGAAAACCTAGGAATATTTCCATATCTTACTCTTTGACTAATAGGCCATTCTCCACATGTTCTTCGAATTCTCAAGACATACATTAGAAACATTCTCCTTTGGACTTGGAAAGTGAGACAGTCGCCTGAAATTGGTGCTGCAAATCACAGAATCTCCTCAAGAATAGGACTTGTGCATCAGGTCACCAAATTCAACTGCTTGTATTCTTTCATGTACATCCCTCTTTGGAACTTAACATGATATTTTTACAGGAATTCATAGTCAAATAAGAGAATGAAACTAATCAATAAGAGGACCAAGAAATGAGCAACCTGAAGAACCAAAAGAACTGCCACTTGAGGCTGGTGGTGATTATTGTTCTCAATTACCCCACTGCCTCCCTCAGCCCTGTGTCCTCGAAGTGCACTCGAGGGGGCAGAGTGTGCTTGCCCACCGACTGATGTTGAGGTTGGCCATGAAACTTGCTTTAGCCAGTGCTATGTTAGTAGATGGGATATTCCAACAGTCTGGCTTGGCCTCTTGAGCTCCCAAGAGGAAAAAAAAATGCCTCAGGTAGTCGCTGGCCCAAGGAGAATGTGGAAACACATGGCGCAGACCGGAACTCAACCCAGAGCTCAGAGCCGAGCCTTGAGAAGTAGAGCCACCCTCCCCGACCACCAGACCAAAAAACATGGTTCCATGATTGGACCAAAATCAAGTTTTATAATTCTCTCCCATTTTAGGTAGATTCCAGTAACACTTGTTCAACCAAACACAAATTCAGTTGTTTGTGACTTTGCCACCATTCCCTGAGCTGGCCTGGGGTAGCAGCAAAGGTGCAAACTGCACAGTTCTAGAAATAGGACAGCTTTCCCCAGAAATGCAAAAACCATTCTCAAGTGACCCTCATACCAGCCATGTACAGAAAACCTGGCATGCCAACATTTCTGACTACCTACTGATTTCCAGAACCTTTATCAGTTCATGTAATCCTACAACTTCCCTATAAAGAGCTAGGATTCCCATTTTTTTCAAAGAAAACATGTTAGCTCAGTTCAATAATCTCCTTAAGGTCATGGTTTTAGTTTTCCATGCTGCATAACAAATATCTACAAACTTATAAGCTTAAAACCAAACGAATTTATTATCTCATTTCCATGAGTCAAGAATCCAGGCACAGGGATGCCTGGGTGGCTCAGTCAATTAAGCATCTGCCTTCGGCTCAGGTCACGATCCCTGGGATCAAGTCCCGCATCGGGCTCCTTGCTCAGCGGAGAGTCTGCTTCTCCCTCTTCCTCTACAGCTCCCCCTGCTTGTGCTCTCTCTCTCTGACAAATAAAATCTTATATTAAAAAAAAAGAATCTAGGCACAGCTTTATTCTACTCAGGGTTTCAAAAGGCTGCAATCAAGGTGTTGGCTGGGCTGTGGTTTCATCTGAAGTTCAGGGTCTTCTTCCAACCTCATACAAGAGGTTTGCAGAATCAGCTCCTTGCAGCTGTCAGACCAAGGTTCCCATTTTCTTGCTGGCCATCAGCCAGGCACTGCTATCTACTTGTAGAGAAACCAGTTCCCCACCCAAAAGCAGTTCACAGCATAATGCTTGCTTTCTTCCAGGCCAGGAGGGGCATTTCTCTGATTTCTAGTCTGTCTTCACTCCGCTATGATGGAGTCTTACATAAGTATAACATAATCACAAGACTCTCCCAATACCACTTGCCATATGAGATAACCCAACCGCTGAAGCAACCCTCATATTTACAGGTTCCACACACACTCAAGAGTAGGGGGTAAAATATGAGGAATTCTTAATCTCAGGAAACAAACTGAGGGTTGCTGGAGTGGTGGGGGATGGGAGGGATGGGGTGGCTGGGTGATAGACATTGGGGAGGGTATGTGCTATGGTGAGCGCTGTGAATTGTGTAAGACTGTTGAATCACAGACCTGTACCTCTGAAACAAATAATACATTATATGTTAAAAAAAAGAAGATAGCAGGAGGGGAAGGATGAAGGGGGGGAAATCGGAGGGGGAGATGAACCATGAGAGACTGTGGACTCTGAAAAACAAACTGAGGGTTCTAGAGAGGAGGAGGGTGGGGGATGGGTTAGCCTGGTGATGGGTATTAAAGAGGGCACGTTCTGCGTGGAGCACCGGGTGTTATACGCAAACAATGAATCATGGAGCACTACATCAAAAACTAATGATGTAATGTATGGTGATTAACATAATAATAAAAATAAATAAATAAAAATTTAAAAAAGAGTAGGGGGTAATATAAGGTATAACTGTTTTTTAAAAGAATAGATGATTATCTTGTTACTGCTTTTATCCTCACTTATAATATTCAAAAATAAATTATATTTTAAAAGCCAAGATATATTTCCAATCAGAAACTTTCAATTGTCCTCTAGAACATAATGCTTTATGGCTAGAAGGTAAATGTAACCCCACAGAACTTTCCGCCGCAGTAGCAATCTTTTAAGGACCTTCTAAAAATTCAAAGGACAATACATGAATGTGATCCTTTTTGGTTTTATAAAGAGGTTTATAACAGTAAGGGACAAGAGGTTCATTTTTTTTCTGAGTTTATTTTAAAAGGTCATTTTACTTAAAAAAAATCAGAAAGCACAATAATATGAACACACTAAATAAAAAATAGCCTAGAAAATGTCTTATGCAAGAAGGTCAGGGTAATTGAATTCACTTCTGACAAAAAAGAAAAAAAGTCCTCCTCAAACTACACGAACTACCTCACATATTAAAATGGTTTTCTCAGAGTACCAGGGTGGCTCAATCAGTTAAGCATCTGACTCTTGATTTCAGTTCAGGTCATGATCTCAGGTTTGTGAGATTGAGCCCCATGTCGGACTCTGTACTCAGTGTGGAGTCTGCTTGGGGATTCTCTCTCTCCCTCTTTCTCTGCCCTCTCCCCCTAAAAAAAATAAAATGGTTTTCTTGTTCCATGCAACAGTTGAGAAGCACACTATTCCATACTAATAGAACTCAGAAAAGTTCAAAGCAAAATTAAAAGCAAAATATGCAGCTAATTCTTTAAGATATAAAGCTTTACAGGAAAATGTGCTTTTTATAATCCAAGACATAACAGATTATCTCTGTACTCTCTACAAATTGAGTGAGTCTGTCTGAACACCTGTTGTCATTTATATCCAACCACATGGTGGGGAGAGATAGCTCTGGACTTGGGATCAGAAGATCTGAGTTTCAGCTCAGTTCAGCCTTCCAGTCTTGTCACTTCAAAAATAGAGCAAGGTTTATCACCCGCACCCTCCCTGGCATGCTTCTCCCTCAACAGCAGTCAACGACCTTGCGTTTTGTTCCCTCAGGACATCCTTCATGACTTCAAGGCCAAATAAGTCCCAAGTAAAGGAATATGTGCCTCCAAGGTAAGAATCTTCTATGTAGGGATGCCTGGGTGGCTCAGTTGGTTGAGCATCTGACTTCAGCTCGGGTCATGATCCCAGGGTCCTGGGATCGAGTCCTGCATCGGGCTCCCTGCTCAGTGGGGAGCCTGCTTCTCCCTCTGCCTGCTGCTCCCCCTGCTTGTGCTCTCTGTCAAATAAATAAAATCTTTAAAAAAACAAAAACAAAAAAAAGAACCTTCTACGTAACCTACCGTCAGAGCTTCCCATTTAAAGTTCAGCCTCTAAAGCCGTAAAAAGCAAAGCGTTTAAGATCCGTAAGTAGCACTCAAATAGATTTTAACTTTCAAAGGACAATGATAAAAGATTATGATTACCAGTATGAAAGTAAATAGTAGTACTGTTATATATGGATATAAAATAAATAGCCCAAAAGAATGAAATTTACTGAAATACCCCTGAGAAATGTACCAGGTATATATAATTTTTTTTAAAGATTTTATTTATTTTACAGAGAGAGACAGAGAGAGAGAGGGAACACAAGCAGGGGGAGTGGGAGAGGGAGAAGCAGGCTTCCCACGGAGCAGGGAGCCCAATGTGGGGCTCGATCCCAGGACCCTGGGACCATGACCTGAGCGGAAGGCAGATGCTTAACGACTGGGCCAGCCAGGTGCCCCAGATATATATATTTTTTAAAAACTAACAAAACTGTATGAGATAGGAAATGCCTAAATAACTGGAGACATAACGTGTTCTTGATGTGAAGACTATTACAAAGATTCCTTCCAAAATAATTCTTAGGGGGGGCACCTGGGTGGCTCAGTCGGTTAAGCGGCTGCCTTCGGTTCAGGTCATGATCCCAGGGTCCTGGGATCGAGCCCCGCATCCGGCTCCCTGCTCAGCGGGGAGCCTGCTTCTCCCTCTCCTACTCCCCCTGCTTGTGTTCCTGCCCTCGCTCTCCCTCTCTCTGTCAAATAAATAAATAAAATCTTTAAAAAAAAACAAAAACAAAATAATTCTTAGGCTTAACAAAATCTCTACTTTTTTTAACATTGATAGGAGGCCACTTAATAAAATTACTCTAATGTTCCTATGAATAAATAAACCAAAGAAAATAGCCAGGATACTTTTAAAATAGGAGGTATTTATATTGGTGTGTATTAAAATGCGTTACAAAATTTAGTAAAAGTAAAAAATAAAACTGTACTAGTTAAAATATAATGTTGTACTTATAAGAATGAAGAACTAGCCTCTCTTTTTTGCCGCCATCCTGCTCTGCGTGGCTGGCTGCTTCTCGCCATGTCTTCTCCCAAGACTTTCAGAATCAAGCGATTCCTGGCCAAGAAACAAAAGCAGAATCGTCCCATTCCCCAGTGGATTCCGATGAAAACTGGTAATAAGATCAGGTACAACTCCAAAAGGAGGCACTGGAGAAGAACGAAGCTGGGTCTGTAAGGCGTCA